TTTTTTTTCCTTCTTTCTTCTTTTAAATGAGCTTTATTTTTTTTTTCTATCTGTTATTTCAGTTTCCCATAGCACCTTGGCAATGTCAAAAACAAATACAAATACATGTTTCTTTTTTTTTTTCTCCTCTTTTAACATTTAAAGCATGAACCTACTTTACACAATTTTTTGGACAGTTTTTTGACAACAGGAATATACCAGAACAGACAAAAACAAAAAGGGGGTGGGGGTTTTTTTTTTTTTTTTTTTTTTTTTTTTTCTCCCCCTCTCCTTTCCCTGAAGCCCGACCACTTTAAAGAGAGATCATAAATGCCAAGGGGAAGCTGGATTCATGGGGGAGGAACAAGATGTCAATATATTATCTGAAGATTTTGTGTTCTATAAAAATTAGAACCAAAAAAAAAAAAAAAAAAAAACACACCTTTTATGCACAGGCTGTTTACAGTTGAAGTTGCATTGTTTTTGGAAACGGTATCCATAACTGAAGCTCCATAAAAATAAAATTTTAAGGTGGTTACAGGTTAGTTTGCAGGTGGATTTTTTTTCCAGAAATAAGTTGATTTAACTCCATTTCAAGTCCTCCCAAATGTACATTAAGAGACTCAATTAACCTCTTGAAGTGCCTATGCTAAAGGCACATAAGAGAAGAGCCAACTAAAATACTACAACAAACCAAAATTATGTACCATCCTAAAGGAAGCTCAGACTATAAGTAATATATACACACAAAGAAGAGCATGATAAAATCATTCAGATTAATGGCAACAATCTTATGTTTCAGAAGGAAATACTAAAATTAGAAACAAAAATTCTATTGCATATCTGTAGTAATCAAGGATTTACAAAAAAACTCATCAGAAGCAATTTCCCCCCGAAGTGCATTTCTGTTGCATCGTCTGTAATACAATGGCGCATTTTACAAATTTAAAATATCATCTGTACATACCAGATATTTTTTCCCCAGGTGAACATTCACTTGGGTAACAGTAAAAATAGCGGACATTTTCAAGACAACTAAACTGATATTGACAAAGTAGTAAGGCCATAGCTATGTAACTACAGTAAAGCATTGATTAAGTCACTTATTTGCTACCGATCTGCCACAGTATCATCTTTCTCTCTTGGTTAATAGGGTGGGTTACTTTATATTTTTAAATCTACTGCTAAAACTGCACCATCATACTGTGCCAGGCTAACTTAAGAAAAATTTAGGAATGTAAGATACTAGAAAAACTAGTAACTTTAGAAAAGAAAGCATTTTTGCACTTTAATTTTACTATCACATGCAGATGATTACTCTTTTCACTCCTGAGCAGAAGTGCAGGAGAGTTGCCCGATCTTTTCCATGCACGATAATTCGGAAAAGAACTTAACTGGGGAAGTTTACTTCTGCAGCTAACAAAAGTCACTACTTCTGAAAACAAGTCACAGTTCATGAAACCGAAACTGAACTTACGGTATTTAATATCAGCAGAGTAGGATAAAAATTCTGTTTACGTCACGTGGTGAGCTACCAGAAAGGAACCGAGAACTGGTGTTTCTCACTTCCGCTGCGCCCTGAGCATCTTGGCAGGACAGGGGACAGTTTCACACCTCTGCTAAGAACGACACAACTCATCTGAATCCTGAGCTGCACCAGCACTCAACCTGGCTCCCAAGGGATCATTTTGTCCCTTTTTTCCCGGGTCCATCAAACCTGGCAGACCGAAATGCGACAGTTTGCCTGAGTCCGTTAGGGGGATGAGAAAGTAGCAGCTAGTCAGTCAAAGTTATGTGATTGCCATGCAATACGAGTACTGCAGGAGAACTTGCACACAAAACTATGGTTTTCACAGCCTTTATATTTACTTGGTTGTTCCCCCCGACGCGCACACACACACACACACACAAAAAAAACAGAGGAAACAAAAGAAAAACTCAGTATAAATTGCAGTGGGGGGAGGAGGAGGAAAGGGAATGCTGTTAAATCCTTGCAGGCAAGTATTAAATAAATAATTATGAGTGCCCTAATCTGATAAAAGTTTGAATATGCTAGAAAAAGCCAACAGGTTTACAGATTTATTTGCATACACTGTACAAGAGCCGTAATCTGCTGCTGCACACCCAGGACATACAAAAGCATCCTTTCCACAGTCAAGTTTTTCCAATCACCTTAACAAGAAAGATTGAGATGTAGTATATTTTTTTTTCCTCCCCAACATCTAATAAATGGAACAGGCTACATTTCACAATGATTAGAAATCCAATTCAAATGCTAATCTTTCAGCACTACAAGGTTACTCTACGCACTGCACTGGGAGCAGAGGTCGCACGGGTGACGTACACCAGCCTCCCTGCGGAGGCCAGAGCCCGACATCCACGCACACCTCGTCCCGACGGCTCCTCCCGACCAGCCGCCATCTAAGGCGGCTATTGGCATTCCAATGCTCATTCAACTTTGCAATGACAGTGCACATCTATCCTAAAATATTTGTGACTATTGTACATAACAGACTTTTTTCCAGTTTGATTGCAGTAATTGCTTATAGACTTTAAAATGATTTAAAATTAACTTTGAAATCGCTGCATTTCAGAGCTTTAACACTTAAATATTTTAAAACTTCTCTATTATGCCATCAAATGTAGCATTATCCAAATAAATGGAGAAGGGGTTGGTAAGCATTCCTAACCTATAGATGTGATCAATGATTTTTACTAAATTTAAAAAAATCCCAAACCCAGTACAGGTAGTTTAAAAGTGAATAATGATTTTATATATATATATATATGTGTGTGTGTATATTTTAACATGCGCAGAAATGAAAGGTTAACTGCATAAATATATTATATTGTGTTATGAATCAAATCAAAGCAATTGCCAAGCTGAATAATAAGTTAGAGAAATGACAACTCTGGCTTTATATATATATTTATAAAAATAGATATGAGTGTTCTCAAAGCAGTTGATAAAGAATGCCTACTGAGTAAGAAGTCGCCAAGGGTTATCTGGCTAAGAAATCAGAAGATGAAAGTTTTCACAGTTATTTTAACTGGCACTTACATTCGTTCTAATGGCAACACTAGCATATATTACTAAGATGTTTACGGTATATATCACAATTGAGTTTTCCAGTGTTCACAACTTACGACTTTAAATTGTACACTTGCTATTCACTAAATAAAAATAAAAATAAAAAAAATAGTAGGTATGATTCTTACTGCTGGAAGCTACTTTTCCCTAACATTTTATACAGAACTTCAAACCCTGGCATGCTGATTTTGGCAGATTAATGCATTTTATTTTCCTATTTCGGTCATTACAGTAATCACCTTGTAAACTTAACCACTTCTTCACAATAGTGTTGCAAATTTAGTCAGCATAAAGCTAGGAAAGATGCTACCTTCCAGTAGCTTCTCTGAACACAAGGGTTTTTCGTTTAGCTCTTCACTTTTAGTTTCACTTTGAACACTTGAAAGATAAAGAAGTCAGTCGCTACTACTTGAGCTGTAGACAGCGAGTTCCCAGCATGTATAAACCCCGATTTCTCCTATACAGCATCCAATATCCTACTCCAGAACACACGGGTCACTATATGGAAACCTGGCCACATCTCCAAATCGCTAAACTGTTCCAAAAGAGACATCGGTTGAACACTTGGGGAGAAGGGGCCCGAGCTGCGCTCAGAGCGCCCACCTGCAAGGCCGAATTCCCTGTCTGGAACAGAAAGTTCTGGTTCTTCCCATGCAGAGCTAACACGATGTGTAGCCATCCATCAATCCTCTACCAGGCCTGCCTCTGGAAAACATACCAAGATAAATGCACAAAAGTCTGTAATAAAGAGACTAGAGAAAGTAACAAGCAATAATAATAATTAAAAAAAAAAACACTAAAAAGTTGCCCTCAAAAGAAGGCGGGGAAAGGGCAAATGGACAGATCTGGCATGCTCCCTTCCACCTCCTTCCAACTGTGTCTAGAGACATTTTCTGCTGTCCATGTGCTCTGATTTGCAATCCAGTCTCCTGTAAATATTGTAGTTTAAAAGCTTGCTGAATGAGTCTGTAAGCTCAAGAGACTATACTTCAATCTGGAAACACAGAGTTTATTACAGTAGTACATTCAGTTTTATCATCAGTGACTAAATCATGACAGTATCTGGCTGCACTCATTCAACTAACACGCTGGCCAAACACCTCAGCTGCAGATGTGCTCTGCAATGCAAGGCCATTCATGGCAGACATCATCCTACAAGCCAAATGTTAAATAGGTTAAAAAAGTTCTAATTTTACAGAAATGCTTATTTTTCAAAAATAATATTCTCTTAGCCTCTTCCTCCCACATTGAGGGGCATGTTAATTTGTCAATTCTTATTTTTTCACCTTGTCAAAATGCTAGCTTTAAAACCCCAAAACTGATTTCAAGCAGGAAACCCTCTGCAAATTAAAAACAAAAATACAAAAATTATAATCTCTATATTTATAGTGATTGGAATCCTCCAGCATTTGTGAAATCACTTTTAGAGATGAATTTTGGGACCCTCCACTTCTCCCTACAGGCCACACTTCGGTTCAGTATTCCCCTTCATGAATACTTCTCTCTCACAGTCTCCTTTGCTGCTCATTAGTCCACAGCTCAAATTAAATAGAGAATATTTGCCTGGACCCGCGTTACTTTGGTGACCGGGGTGGCACGTACTGCTCCTTGCCGACACGTCGAGGTGCTCCCTGAGGCGAAGATCTGCGTCCAAACTGGCGCCTCTGTTCCCTGATTTTCCCAGCAGCTCCCCTGGGAGGCCCATTGCCCCGGAACCCAGAGTAATCCTTCATCCGACCTTCCACCTTGTCTTGAGCCTTTTCGGAAGTCTTCTCTGCAGCCTTTTCGGGTGTACCATTTTCTTCATTTTTGGCGGGGGAAACTACGTTGGTGCGAAGCTCCCTAAGAGGCTGAACAGGAACTGGAGGAGGCTCCTTTGGGGGCTTCTGGCAGACTTCAGCATAGCTGAGCTTACGTGGCTCCTTTGGGATCAAGGGTAGAAGAACAAAGTTTACACAGCAGCCTGACCACTGCCTCCTGCCTGGCTATCCTAGGCTCAGCGTTAAGGTGCAGTGAACTAGCAGACCACAGCTACAGTGGAGTGCACGAGCAAGCCGGCTCCCGAACCAACAAGGGGTCCCGGGTGCTACACGAGCAAGATGAAGGAACACCTGTCCACGTTCCCCACCCAGCTCCCCACTCTGCACCATACCTGCATCAGCACAGCGGGTGCTGCGCTCGCATTAGTAGAGGATGAAGTGGCATTTGTCCTTGGCAGCTTTGCAGTGCTCACCGGACAGGCAGACACCGCTGGCGAAGAGTGGCTCAGGACATCTTTCTGAGCAGATACTTCTTCGGGCTTGCTATCTGGCTGAACTGTGCTGTTGAATCCAGAACAATTTAACATTAGAATGTACAAATACGAAAATTACGTTCGAGAAGGTATTTTTTCTCTTTGAGGACACAGCTAGAGGTTTCGCAAAGTAGGACAGTTTGGCTGTTATGACTGTGACTTCCATCTGGTGGCCTCTAGAGAGGCTGTCTGCCACAACCAGAGAAGGAAGATGAAGTATTGTGACTAGCTTGCAGAATACCAACTAGAACCATTGCAGGAACGTGCAGAAGCAAGTCTGAATACTCTTATTTCAAGCAAGCTGCGTACCTTAACACCACGGCTTCAGTGTGACTCGGTGAACTCGTGCTTGCGACAGGCTGCTGGGCAGGGCTGGGCATCTGTTCTTCCTGAGCAGGGGCTGGAGAGCTGGACAGCAAATCTTTGCTTTCCTGTACAAAAAGCGTAAGTTGCAAAACATGGGAAGATGGCAATGGTTAATTTAAGCACATGCCAGTTCAAGACATTTGGACTTGCAACATTCTGGGCACAGCAACATTCTGGGCATAGCTCTAACATACATAGATGTTTTAAGCAGGGAAGGAGAGACAGACAGACAACACATGCATATTATTTGCATGCATGAAAGAAGAATAAATACCTTTTCTTTGCAGATGCCTTTAACAATGTCAGACATCCTGCTCTCCAGGACAGGCTCTCCTGGTGTTTTTGCTGTGCTGCCAGGCAAGGGTGGGAAATTTGATGCTAGCAAGTCAAACTTTGGTGTCTGAGTCTTTGTTTCTGCTGAAGGCTGAGGCCTCTAGAGAAAGAAAAGGCCTGTTAAGAGGGCTGTATCCTCCAGCATTCAAAGCACCCAGTGTCAGGAAATTTCCTAGAAACACCAAACCTCCCCAGTTTGATCAGAGGACTTGTGTGTGTCATTCCCTGAGTAAACACAAAGCCAACACGCTGCAGCTGGTGTCAGCCGCAGCAACATTTTTCTGGAAATGACCGGTCTAAAACTACTTAGGAATTGTGAATTATGAGATCTTCTATTCATTCTTATCTGCAGTTACTACAGATATTGTTAAGATAGTCAACATTTAGTTACCTTAAAAACCTAACTATGGACAAAGAAGCAATCTGTTTTACAAACAGGCACAAGCTTCCACCCCCTGGCATGTGAAACAAGCCTGCGCATTTCATGTGAATCGCTGCAATAAGGGAAGCAGAACTTACTAAAATACGATCATCTTCCCGTCTCCTCCGACCTCTGAAAACATTCCTCCTTTAAAGAGAAAAAAGGGCAGTAAGTGCATTCATCTAGCTCAAGTACACACTCTACTGCACAGAGGGGAGCCTGGGGCAGGGAATTCTCAGCAGCCAATTGATGTTTCTCAAGCTACAGTTATGGGATGTTCTCTGTTTTCAAGGGGTTCGAAGCTCCTACAATCCTGAAAAACAGCCAATATGGGAAACTGAATCACTCTTCCCTTGAAGGAGCTACCCTAAAGCACTGTATCTAAGCAAGTGGATAATTTAAACTTTAATATAATAGACTTCGCTGTTTATGGCAATATACATTCCAGGTTTACTTCATTGGCTGTTTTAATTCTGGCTGCAAGTCAGTCCTTTTAAAACAAAAGTTACTGTCTGTTACTGAAAGGTCTTGGTAGTACAACTAATAGATGCGTAGGGGAACAGGAAGCACACATGCTCCTAGTAGAGCCAAATATTTATCTGTTTACTTAAATGGTAGTTTTCTCTTGTTCATTTTTTCTTGTTCATTTCATAGCTTAGAACTGTCCCTCCAGAGTTTGTTTGCTAACAGTGCTACTCCATTGAGGTTGAAGGTGGAGTAGGAGAATGTTTAAGGCCATTATTTAAAATCATAGTATAGATGTGAAGAGCGTACTTGATACATTTTTCTTTTGTAACCTAAATTTTCCCCTTTATCAATTAAAGACATTGAAGTCACACGTCTGTATAGTAAGTCCATGACCCTACTGACAGTGGCTTTTAAGGGAAAATACAACCGTGTTACAATCTTTGTGTGTATTATCTTCTGTATAACATTTACAAGGTTGGACTAGATGATCTCTAGAGGTCCCTTCCAACCTTAATGATTCTCTCTGATTCTCTCCGATTTGTTTATAGAAACAGGCATCATGTCGGCGGCTGACATTCCTTAGCTCGTACAAGCCACGTCGGCCTGCGGCACTGCTATTTCACAGCACACCCTGCTCCTCACCTGCCCCTGCCAATGCCATAATCTCCATTCTGTTCCATCTGCGCCATAGGAGAGTCCTTCTGGGAATAGCCTTGATCTTGGTGCCCTGTCAACGTGCTGTTATGCCGCTCCATAACAAAATTCCTTGAGCTGCTTCTGTTCAGTGGTCCTTCCGCCATGGCCACGGTGCTGGCCGCGGTCGGCCCCTCCGCCGCGTGCTCCGAGCTGTTGGACGGTCGGAAGTGAGGCTTCACGCTGCAGGAGGCACAGCGAGAGGCTTTAGAAACACACTGCCAAACTCTGCCACCAACTACAGCTAGTTCGTAGATGACGAGAAAAGAGGAGATCAGCAAGTACTGGAACTCCGTCCTCAGAGAAGGGTAATTTCTTACATACGTTTGTCAATTGTCAAAAGCAAAACAAACAAATGTTCTTCCTGACCTTCATCTACTCCTTTCATTCTAGCTCTCTTGCAACCCCCCACCCACAAGTGTGGCCATTACAAGAAAATATTGAGACTACAAATACTGAGACTGACAAATATTGAGTGACAAAATATTGAGACTGACAAGAACTAAAGGAAAAAAAAAGGGGGGGGCCGGGGCAGGAATTATCTCAGCTGGAATCCCAGGAAGGATCCTGCAGCTGTCTAGGCCATGAGGTGCCTGAAAGTGTCCTGGAGAACTGACAATCACCCGAGGAACAGGCTGAACTGGAACAAGAAGCCAGAACCAGACAAGGACAGAAGCGGCTGGAGAGAGCAGGGCAGATGGGGCTGGGATGGCCGAGAGCCGCGAGCGCCAGGATCTTCACCTTGTGTTTCCGTGATCAGACGCCCGTAGTGTTGACTTTGCAGTCTGCAGCACCCCAGACTCTTTACCCAGTTATTGATTATTCAGCATCAAAGCTGTATTTTCTTTGAACCGAGATGCAGCTACACATCAGTGGCTCTGCGAGATAAGGCTCTGGTCTCAAACACAGAACTACCCAGAGAACCCTCTGCCCCACCACAGCATGGAAAAGCAGCAGGGAGGAAAGCCAGTTTTCCACAGGGGCATTTGGATGCCTCACTCAGGCTACTTCCACAACTCACTGTCTTTCCAACTTGGCACCAATTAGTTTCAGCAGATGAGGCAAGCATCTCAAACTAGGATCTTCATGCGATCAGAGGACAGAACTTTGCATGTTTGCAGTAAGTTACTGCAGGAGTGTTTTAATACAACGTGATCAAGGAGCGAGTTCTCCCACTGCCAAACTACGATACCTGTCTGGGAACAGAACTCACGTTGCTCTGATCTGCTGCAGAATGAATGCTGTCGATTCTAAAATGACTAGCAGAAAGGTAGTTTCCTTCCAGCTTCCACCCATTAACTTGTTCCCCCCCACTGGGCCAGGGAAATTAAAGTTGAGAGGAAAACACAGGAGAATTAATGAACGACAACAATTTATCGTTTGCCCACACGGGGCTGCTGAATCAGAAAAGCAATAATTGATATGGTCCTAACAGCACAAGACCCTTCGCTTTGCTCTGCCGTTCTCCCAGAGGATTTTAAATCAGCTCCATGACTCTGACAGACTTCTCCATAGCCTTGCACTTGACGGCCAGAAGCTTTTGAGCATTTTATATGCAACAAAAAAGTGGAAAAAGTTTCACCTGAAGTTACAGTCCAGTTTTGAGTATTCGTATGCACTTGCTCCGTCAAACGGATTTTCAGTTATCTTTTAAATGAGTGGACTGAAAAATACCAGTTTAACCAACGGCAGCACTGAGGATCTCCGTCACAAGACACAGTCTTCCATTCCCACAAGCATGTTGCAACAAATGAGGACAAAATAAACACGACCAGCTCAAACAAATGTTTGTTTTTACAGACCAAAAAGCCCAGTATTTAACTAGTGGCTGCCTGTGTGACAAAATAAATTGAGTTTAATGGGCCACAGGACAAAGCGGCAGCATCTCCTCTGGGAAAGAATCTTCTGCAGTTCAAGGGGAGATGTGTTGAACAAAGACTAATTCATATTTTACAGCTTCAAAAAGCATTAGGAAGCACATTTCAGACCCAGTGACGTTTTCCATTAGCAGCAAGCACGGGAGAGAGGAGATTAGGCAACCAAAAGGGAAAAGATGCGCAAGTCATTATTCAGCCCTCAGATCTCATAATCTTACCCGTCATTGAGAAGGCCACAATCTCAGCCTGGGCAGAAGAGCAAAGCAGAAAAGAGAAGGAAAAAGAAGGAAGAAAGCAGAGAGAAGAAAACAGAACGTGAGAGAGCAGAAAGAAGGAAAAGCAAAGTGCAGGCTGCCCAGGCAACCGACTGCTGGACCAGTTCTCTCTAAGCGCGATACTTGATCATCACTGGGCCAAACCTGCACGTCTGCACCTCACTATTACCTTTGCAGGCTCCCTTTTGGGAAGAAATCCTGGTGGAGCATAATTAATGCCTGCTTCCAGATTCGGAAGCTCTATTAATGCAAAAGCAGAGCTTTGTACTAGCACGAAGGCTGAGCAAGCTTGGCAGTAAAGGGAACACAACCCAGGTGGAGTAGCAGAGCCGGTACACACGTGGCCCTGAAGCTGTAACTCTAAAATGACTGAAGCTTGGCAAATTAAAGTCTTAAAATAATCAGGAAGAGTTTTTAAAGCTTAAAGTTATCAGGCAGAATGTGATCTACAAGCAGGGAATGAATGTATGGGCATTTCGAGATGTCAGTCTTCAGGTAAATACAATTCCTGCACAGTTTCATATCTACGCTTCTCCAGCACGATCCATATGACACTCACAAAACTCTTTGAGCACAACTTAAGGCATTTTTTTTTTTTTTTTTAGAAGGCCTTAGCTGGGTGCTGCACAACTCTAAGTGGCTCCATTGCCTGGTGTTCTGGGCCCATCTGCACCACCGCTGAAGCAGTGCAGACCCACCTTTTGCCATCAGCTGCATCACAAAAACACTGCCAGTACTGGCAGGTGTCAACTGACTTCTCAAACAGGATAAAAAGCTGTTCCTATGCTATCAGCCCACATGCCGGATACAGTAAAAGAACTTGCAAATGAAAATTTCCACCCACACACACAGATTACTACCCCATTATATTTCCAGAGCACTGTTTCAGCAAATATAGAGCTGGTTCCTCCTCTCCAATGTCTATATCGGAGCCGAGTCCTTACAGTTATCTGGAAAGATGGCAATACAGCAAATAAATCTCAGCGACAGACTCAGCATCAAGCAGTTCAGCACACAGAAGCCAGGGCATGCAACTCCCCGCTGTACAAACTGACCGGCTCTCACAAAACTGCTCACACAACAGGAGAAGCTTAAGTTGGTTTTGCAGCAGTTTACAACCCATAGAACAAACCATTAGAAGTACTACCTTAAGAGGGGGTTATTGATGTGTCTGCAGAAATTGCTCCACGGGTTTTAGAGGAGATACCTTTGCTCTCTCCAGCACATATGTCCATCATTTTGGGATCTCAAACTGCCAACTTCATTTTTTTTAATTGAGTTGAAAAATGCCATGTGTATTTGATAAACAAAGCGAGTAACCTAGCCCCATTACAAGCCACTGCACTTCAGAAGCACGAGGAGCACTTAAGGATCTGAATACTGTAAATTCTCAGAGAGCAAAGCAACTGACAGAACTATCTTACCGATTTCTATGGAATGGGCGACCTATACTCAAAGAAGCAGCATTTGTTTTATATGATCCTGGTGTATTAAAGCCATTCATAAATCCACCGTTAGGAAAGGGGGCCTGCAACAGACAGAACAGTCTCAATGGCTGAGCTAAAAAAAAGAAATGTTTGCAGTTATATGCGATCAGCTTCAGCAGTTATCATCCAGCCTCTTTTACTTTTACACTGGGCTACCACATCCAATAAATTGCAATCTCACTAGTTAAAAAAGGGCCCCCACAGGTTAACAATCTGCAAATCTACTTTAGTCTTAGAGTCCTCTGATTCCAGAAAAAGCTACAAAGCTCTTCCAGTAACATGAGTTACTAGATTATGGATAAATGGAGTTTCACACCAAAATTCCTTGAGATAAACCGCAGCCAGTGGCGAGCCACACGGCTCCTCTGAGAGTCTTGCATTAGGTCCGTCACATCAACTGAAGGGAAGTTCAGCTCAGCAGCACAGAAGCGGAGAGATCTGACTAGAAAATCTGTGCATCCTGCAGCCAAAACACCCGTCAACAGATGGTTTTGTTATCCAAATTATTATTTGTGCTTAGGGCTGGCTGTCAACCTGTGCTCTCAGGCCTGAGCCCTAGTCAGCAGTTTCAGACCCTCCCTCATTCCCTGTCAGTGGCTGTTACTCACCAGGGGGGTTTCGAAGTAAGGTGCAGGGCTTGGAGACCACGTCTGAGGCACGATGCTGTAAATAGAGTACTGCTGAGGACTATATACAGGCTGCATAAAGAGTGGTGAGGCAAACTGTGCTTGCGTTTGGACTGGCTGAGTATAGACACTAGAATCCACTACCCGGTAGCCATTCTTAGCAAAAAATGTGTTGATGGCTTTTATCCTTGCCTGCAAGAGACAAAAATGGGATCAAATGCAGCATGTGGGAGAAGAGAAGCAGAACTTCTGATTTTTGTTGCCTACTGAAATTATAACAAAAGGGGTGAGGTAGTAGGTTAACTACTGCTTACAAATAGAAATTGTTATAAAAAAATCATTCTGGATGATAGTCAAAATATGCTAAAGGGAAGGATTAGCATGCTGTCTTAGCTGGAGAATCTCTCATGTTCTCAGAATAAATGCTGTCTAAAGCAGCAACTGTCTAGGCTCCAATTTCAACAATTTACAAAGAAAATGACAGATTTAAATCTGCAGCAGATGCTGTTCACTTGACTAATCGTCATCTCCCACAACAAGGCTGCTAATGCCTTACTATTTTTTTCCAAAAATTCACCATGTTATTCAAATAAGAATGTTTTATTCTGAAATCTCTCACCATATAAAACAGTCTTACCATTACTGGCTTGCCCTGAAAGGTTTTCACTTCTTCCCTTAAGTATTTAAATGCCTGTGTATACAAAACAAACATTAGAACACGCTGATAAAAGTAATACTTAAAGGACATTATGTGACTTAACATCAAATCCTAGCCATGCGCTTCCCTGTTAGGGGCTAGCTAAACTCACTAACCCCTCAAAATTCTGTATATTTGATGTCAGTCCCTCACATACCCAGGGGCTGGGTGCTGTAGTTTCATTATTATTCTCAGAGAGCGCTGAGGAACTGCAACCCTCAGCTTTTCTTCTATATCGACAACAATATGCCAATAACATCTTAAAATTCCCAAGGGGGATCAGCAAATAAACGAGCTTGTTGGCTGTAGGCAGCAGGCACACAGCCACCCCGCACAGGGAAAGTGTTCGCGGGACCGGGACATCATTCCAAGGCGAGAGCAGCCTTACCTGTTGCGCGTCTGTATCCGACTGGAATGTAACGTACCAGTTGTTGTTGTGAGCAAACTCACAGCTTATCACTTTGGGGCAGTTTTCATTTTTAAACAGAGCCTTCACCTCCTGAGGGAGACAAAACTCTGTTGTTATGGGGACCTAGGCCAAGCTCTAAGATGGGAGTTGAGCACTAAACTCTTAGATCAGGAGTCATCCATAGAGGAGTAACCAAGGAATACTACCCAGCCAAGATAACCTGATAGCTCTGCAATAGAGAAGAGCTTAAAAAGGGGACAAATCAGCTGCTCAGCATTTGCATTAAAAGCACTAGTTAAAAATGCCATTTGATAAACACCCTGTGTTACAATGTTAAAAAACAAAGAACTAAACTGTTCTGTGAGTCAAATGTCAGTAGGAATTTCATTATCTTCCCTTCTCTGAGCATAATGAGCTCAGCTCACACTGGGTCACAATGAATGAGAAATGTTTAATAATGTCTGTAGCTGCCAAAACAACCGTCTGACTTCAAGTAAAGTTACTGCTGTGACAAAAATTCAGTCTGAATTCCAAGTCATGCCCTGGACTGATTTTATTTTTGGATCTGAAAAGAAACCAGTTCAAGCACCCTTCCAGAAAAGCCTTTGTAACTCAAGTTTCTATGGAGAAAAAAAAAAAAAAAAACAACTTACGTAAACACATTTTAATATATTAGTAAAAGAATGGAAAGGGGACAAGTTTTTGGTCTAGCTTTTTTTGGTGATAAATCATGGCAGGAAAAACTTCCTTGGTGCTTTATAAGAAATACCAGAGTTGAATTCAATTAAATACTAGTCAACCTTTAAAGCAACACAGGTTTCAGTTTCAGGTAGAGCCCTTTTTTACCTCTACAGGTGTCGTTTCAGGGATTTCACGAAGAATAATAATACATCGTTTGTGGTTTGGTCTGACTTTCTCCCCTCTCTCATCCACTTGTACCATAGGAGAAGCTGAAATTAAAATACAAAGTGTGGCTTAATAGTGGACACTGGATACTGTAGAAGCTCTCAGCAGTACTAGATTCCTCATATCCAAATTGTAAGAGAACTTCCTCAAACTGCCACACAACATGGATTTCTTAAATTCAGAGCAAAAGGACTGTTACCAGTTTCCTTCTGCTAAGTCTTTGGTATATTTTAGTTACATGTCTGAAGCTGCCTCTATCCACAGTTCAGGTATTCAAAAAACTCAATCCCAAATTAAATTCAGTCTAGAACAGCCATGTTACACAAGTATCATCTGGAGAAACAGGTTCCCTTCACCATTTTCTTGGAACAATATGTCATAACCAGCTAAGACATCAACACGTTTCTCTAAAGCAAGCAAGAGGCGTTTGTTCTGCCAATAGAGACATCAAACACCCGGACTTACATCTCAAAACTTCAAGAATGAGATCCATATCCGTTGTCAGCTTCTTAATACCTTCCATGTTGGCAATTGTCCATATTGGAACAAACTGATCACTATCCATCTGAGACATCAGATAGAGATCCTTTGAGAGATTCTCCCTAGAAATATATCAACACAGCCTTTTAGCCAGCCCTGCACATCAGGAATGGAACTCTGACAACAAAACAAGAACTACAGCCTTCAATAGATAGAGATTTGCTGGTAATACCCAGCTAAATTATCCCAGCATCCTATAACTGCGAAACATAGAAGTTAAACTGAATTTTTATTAAAGGACAAGACTGAGACCATTGATACCACCACAACATTCCTGTAACGTTTCAGTGAAACTTGCTTTATATCCCAACCAACCCCCTTCCACAGCTAACTTTATAAAAGAAAATGCAAACACAGCACATATAGAGCCAAAAATGAAATATCCATCAACATGTTTAATAAAGGTTTTATATGCAGCTGAATTAACTGTACTGTACCGTGAGAAGCAGAATTCAAGCTGTTTTTTCAAACATTCTCTAATGTCTTCTGCGGACACAGCAGAGCTGCCTTCACCTAAAAGTTATCACATTTACAAAATACCATCAGGTCTCAGCTGCACACTGAGAACACAATGCAAGGAGTTTCATCATGCAACATAAGTGTGAATCCTTCTGGATAAAGAGGGGGGAAAGGTAATTGGGACATTCTTAAACAGCACCACATTGTGCATCCCAGGTCACACTGATCCTGCCAAAGCGATTCAGACCCCACTTTTTTTTTTTACTTGCCCAGGTGCCACGGCTGGTTTAGGTCCTCTTAAGCAGGCACTGACTGGAAAATCTCAAGCTTCTACTAAGAATTTACAAGTGATACCTTAACGTGGAAAACATTTACTAAACTAAGAGCCAGGGGTTGTTTTCTGCACGAGCCAGGCCACAAGCACATACACTGCTTGTTCTTTCACTTCCCTAGGTGAGCAGAGAGATACACAACAGGCCAGCTAGGTTAATTACTAACTACACTAACAGCTCATATCTGCACACGTGTGTTTGCTACATTAAGCAGTTTCAAGACCTGTCCAGAAAGAACAGTATCAGTCGCTTCTATCTTGAGGAAGACATTGGACTCTGCTAACCTACTGTACAAACTGTGCTTAAACATCTCAAGATCTCCTCCCCCCGTAACAGCATTAAAATTCAAATTAGAAGTTAAATTGTAGAGCAGGAGTGGAATTCTACTTTCAGGATTTTAATACACAACAATGTATAAACTACAGGTGGAAAAGTATAAACAACCTAAAGCGACCACAGCAGGGTTTGCCGATAGGAAACACTTAAACACTACAGAAAAGGAGCCTCCTGCTCTGCTCACACAGCTGGGTTAGCGCTCTCCAAATGCCTGGGCTTTACAAGCAATCTTCTCTGGATTAGAAAACATGTGGACTTTAAAATGTCTAGAGACGGACAGAGAGCAGCCAGAAAGGACAAATTAACTGCATGAGACTTCAGAGAATCACAGGAGTTGACAGTGTTACTTCACATGAATCCTCACCAGAAACTTCATAGATTTGGTAGCCAAGGTCTTCAGTCGCTAGGACCATTCCATTTGCAGAAGCCTCATCAACCACTGTGCCATTTCTTGTAGCTTCACAAGACGGAGAATACATCACTTCATATTGCTTGCAGCTATCCTCCGAAATCTCTAGGTTACCTGGCAAAAAACATACTATCAACAGAAAGAATACTAGAAGCTCCAGAATAATTTTCATTTGAGAAGTTATCAACTTTAAAAGAATAAGTGCAATAATTGAAAAGTTAACACTTTCAATGTCTACTTTGTATTGGGTTGCACTTTCTACCTATTTTCAGAAAGATCTTCTGGCTTGCACTAGAGTCTTATCAAAAAGGGTGGGTAAATAATAGAGTTGTGAAATTGTAAGACCACATAACACAGCAGAGGATCTAACAACATGCTTACCACCCAATATTTAAAATACTGAATTCAGTTTCCTAAAAAACAAAGCACTTATATAGCTTATATCACTAAAACACTTATTCAACATATTACATGATCCTTGTTTATACAAGGACTCAGGAGCATCAAGTGATTGTTATAAAAGCACACTTGAATTATGCTGAAATTGGCCAATCTATTGTTCAAGACACTTGAGTCTTCAGCAACAGCTGCTTAGAATAGAAACAAATAAAATTTCAGTTTAATCCCACAGTCAGGAAAGATTATTCAGAATCAAATTTGCTCCACTAGATCTTTTCCACGCTAATGACTAACCACAAAAATGGTACTTTTAGAAGTGAGACTGCTCAAGCACTTACTATTACAGTATATATTGCTTGTAAAGCCATAAAATAGTTTGGAGAAACCTCCCTTAACTTCTCAAGCAGCACAACATTGATGTGACTATTTCGTGTTGTTATGAAGAGACAAACGAGCTTCTTGCCCAGTGCACGAGTTCGGCTCTGTTTCTCCTGACTTATCAGGAACTTCTCACACAGCCACACAAGCAGAGCCCTCCCTCGATTCCTAACTTGGCCTAAAGCTCTTCCAGGGAATCTTCTGCTTCCTACTTTGAGAGACCCCCACTCTGCTTCAAGTATCCTCAGCTCTACAATTCACGTTGATTCTAAAATGAATCGAGATCTAAACCACTGGAAACTGTATTTAATTCTGGACAATGGGATTAACCACGTGGTAAGGACGGAAAATAGGGATTGAAAGTGAATACAGACTTAAAGCAGCTAGCTAAAAATGCTCTGCAATTTCTAGTCCAGCACAAATGCCATTGTGCAACAGCTCTCAGCAGCAGCTCAGCAATCTACCAGGCTTGGAGGTAGCCCTCAGAGATATAATTTTCCTGTTCACAGGGTCAAGATATACTAAAGTGCAGCAATGGTGAAAGACAATCATGAAGCCATTCCACACCTTTAGCAACCTGGTTCCCTCTTAGCGCGTTACTCAGTCATCATTGGGCCCTCTGAGCACTGCTGCTGCTGCTCCAGCATCCGCTCTGGATGCCTTGTTGAATTCCTAAACCAAAGCTCAGACATCTTATCTCTACAAACAATTACCTTTCTGTCTCCTCATTTGTCACATTCATTTATGCTCATGACTAGAGCAGCACTAATAACCTCAAGGAGGAGAGATGGCACCTCATGACTAGACTGAGTCTCATAGCAAATACTCTGTGCTAATTAGCAAGGACCCATGGGGCCAGCGCCTAGACACGGGCCGCGACGCCTCACCCTCGGCCAGAGGCCCTTGCACAGCCGCTGTCTCTTGCCACGAGTGCTCAGCGCCATTGGTTGCTGGCGCGGCCTCTCCACTCCCTTGGGGGACTTCTTGCCACACTTTTGCATTAGGGTTTAAGCCAGCACCTTTCGATGTTACCTGCTGAAGAGAACAGAACACCTCTATTAGAAGAGGAAAACCAAAAATGACTTAAAAGTCAGACAGACAAGACAGCTGAATTTAGCAATTTCCTATGCAATTATGCATCACAAGTTTCTAACCAACTATTAAGCACCAACATCATTTTTCATTGAATGAAACTGGAAAGTCCTTGGGGTTTTCCAAGTATTGAAGGTATTGGAGGTAGTTTCTACCTCCATCACAAGTGTTGCTTCCAGGCTCTTTTACTGACATCCAATAACATCAGAAGAAGCAACTAGGTAGGAAGAACTCTGACAGCCCATAAAGTTTAAGGTCTTGACTCTCAATCCTCCAATCCCTTTTCACCAAAAAGGGAACTTTTCCCTATTGAAGGCCTCTTCCTAGAAAGGAAGGTTACAAAAAGAAAAAAGCCATATCTCAGGGAAAGTAAGTTGATGAGTTACTGAATTTGATTAGTCATGACACCTACCTGAAGAAAATATCAATCCTGGATAAAACAGACACTTCTTTCACATCACTTGCTTAAATTTATATGGCAAAAGCCTCTAAACAGAGCTCAAAGCTCATCCAATTTGAGAAAAAAATGAAGTTTGGTATTCAGAGGCCAGCCTCCTCAAGTCTGAAATTAAGGAGTGGCTTAGTAGGCCCCAGACATAAAGCAGAAGGATAAGGAAGCAGTTGGAGTAGCTTTAGAGATAATTCCTTTGCCAAGGTCACACCTAGCTCCAAAGATATCTGCTACAAGGACAAGCCCAAATCCAGCCCCAAAAAGCTCCAAACACGGCAGAAGTTCAAGCCCATAACAAGAGGGCAGAACAGAGATGACCGTTTTGGCACAGGCCTCTTCGGGATGTAAAAATATAGCAGTCGAGCAGGCCACCTGCTTGGGAACTGGGAGCAAACATTCCATCTCCCAGAACAGCCCTCCCAGCACAGCAAGAAAGACAAGCTGCACATCCAGAGGATTCGCTGTTCCAGGAAAGCGACCAGGGCCTCTGTCACATGCGAGCGACCTCAAGAACAGCAGGTGACACTGCTCATTCAAGAGCGCCCTGAATAGCAGACGGCCAGAAATTGCAGGTAAAGAGCGCTAAGAAACCAGCAGATTCCGGCTGATAGAGGTGAATGGGTCTATTAATACAATGGCTGCGCCCGAATTACAGTGGCAAGCTACTTCCTCTCTGCACCAGAAGCACCAGAGCAGCTGAAACAGCTCCACAAGCCCTGGCCCTGATGTCATTCAGCTTCTTAGCACACCCCAGAAGAATCCTGGGTTCTTGTAAGCTTTTTGAGGCCGCGTGCTCCACAGCCGGAGCGCAGCCAGCGTGCTCACGGGCCGCCCTTCCAAGAGGGGCCAAAACACCCCTTCCTGCTTATTTAGCTGCAGCGAACAGGCAGATGCGGGGTCCGTTTGATTGGCTGCAGAACAACCCTCCCCGCTGCTATCGGGAACGTTCGCAGCGAGGTTAAAGCTTTACAGGGATACAAAGGTTAGGAACACGCACGGGCATCCACGCGCTGACAAAGCGCTCCGTGCCGGCACCGCTTCCCTTCCCTTGCTTTCCACAGGCACAAAAGGAAGCTTCTCTTCCAGAAATTCCTTCAGAGCAACTCTGAAGCATCAGTCTCACCTCAAAAGGTCAAATCAACCCCTTTCTTGCCCCATAAGTCTAGATTACACCTAATAATCAATTAATCCCACAAAAAATGAACACATCCCGAGCCTGTTTAAGGCCTTCTGCAACAACCAGGTCTCCTCCAGCCCAATAGCAGCCAATAATAAAAACTACTTGGTGCTGCAAGGACCCCAGGTCATTCCCAGAACACAAACTAATCTCGGTGGTTACGAGAGAACCGTTTTCACCGAACACTGAATGCTTTTCACTAGACCACAGTGAAAGGGAGGCTGGGACGGGAGAGGCTTCCCGCCTCTGCGACACACCGAGTTTCTATGAAACCCCCGGGCTTCCTGGAAGGGAGCGAGCAGGGGCCGTTCCGACGCGGGGCCTGGCGCTCGCGGAGCCGCGCAGCCCGGCC